AATAAACAAACAAACAAACAAATAAAATAAATAATTCAATTGATAATTTAAATAAAACAAATAAATGAATAATAATAATTCGAGTAATTCGAATAGTTTGAATAAAACGAATAAACAATTCGAATAATAAAATGAATAAACGAAATAAAATGAATAATTCAAGCAAACAAATATTTGAATAAACGAATGATGTCAATTCGAATAATAATAATAAACGAATGATGTCAATTCGGATAATAAACGAATGATACAATTAGAATAATAATAATAAACGAATGGTGATAATTCGAATAATAATGATAAACGAATGATGTCAATTTGAATAATGATGATAAACGAATGATGTCAATTCGAATAATAATGATAAACGAATGATGTCAATTCGAATAATAATAATAATAAATGAATGATACAATTCGAATGATAAATGAATGATGTCAATTTTAATGATGGTAATTCGAAGAATAAACAAATGATGATAACAAATTCGAATAATAAATGAATGATGATAATTTGAATAATAATAATAAACGAATGATAATAATTCGAATAGACGAATGATAACAATTCAAATAAACGAATGATGATAATTCGAATAATAAATGAATGATGATAACAATTCGAATAATAAACGAATGATACAATTCGAATAATAAACGAATGATAACAATTCAAATAATAAACGAATGATGATAATTCAAATAATAAACGAATGATGATAATTCAAATAATAAACGAATGATGATAATTCAAATAATAAATGAATGATAACAATTTGAATAATAAATGAATGATACAATTCGAATAATAATATAATAATAAACGAATAATACAATTCGAATAATAATAATAAACGAATAATGATTTCAAATAATAATAATAAACGAATGATGTCAATTCGAATAATAATAATAAACGAATGATGTCAATTCGAATAATAATCATAAACGAATGATGTCAATTCGAATAATAATTCAAACAAAAATTTGTATTACGAATAGAAATTCTGCTCTATTGCAGTATTGCAGAATCATCAAACCTAGCACAACTACAATACTTGAGGCGTCCCTACAAGCAATATAGTAAAACCAATAAAAGGGGTTCCTAACTAATAATTAAATGTTGGCCAAACCATTAATCATCAGAAAGGCTTATGGATCAATTAATGAAAGTGTCATTATTGAAAAATCAATTGTTTTTAAATTTTTTTTTCACTGAAGGAGATTTCAAGCAT